CCTCCCCCTCTCCTCCTCTAGCCCATCTAACGAGCGGTGTTTCTGTCTTTGCAGCCTTCGCCATCCCAACTTCGGACGACAACATCCAAATCTCGTCATACTCCGCCGGGCTCCTCCAGCGGGTCGTCAAGCTTGCCCATGCAGCGAATACGAAGGTCGTCATCGCTATCGGCGGATGGAGCGATTCGGGATACTTCTCCGGCGCGGTATCGACGAGCTCGAGGCGCAAGACGTTCGTCAACAATATCGTCGCGTTCGTTAACAAGTACAACTTGGATGGCGTTGATATCGACTGGTGCGTTCGAGCGTCCTCTTTTTCGAGCGTGTTTGGATGACGGATCTGACGGAGCGGTTTGGTTCATTTCGCAGGGAGTACCCCGGCACGCAAGGCGCAGGATCGAACGAAGTCTCCTCCTCCGACACGGCCAACCTCCTCTCCTTCCTCAAACTCCTGCGCTCCTCCCTGCCCAACAAGCGCCTCTCGACCTGCACGACGCAGCAGACTTATGTCGGCGCGAACGGGAGCCCGATTGGAGATGTGAGCGCTTATGCGCAGTACCTCGATGCGATCCTGGTTATGAACTACGATGTCTGGGGCGGTGAGTCGCGACCTCTTCCTCCTCTCCTCGAGTTAGAGGGAAACTGACGGGATGGGTTCGTTGAGCAGCCTCGTCGACGCCCGGCCCGAACGCACCCCTCGAAAACGCCTGCACCAACAGCCTCCAACCGACCGCCAACATGCTTTCCGCGATCCAGACCTGGGAACAAGCCGGCATGCCCGCGTCCAAGATCCTTATGGGCATCCCAGCCTACGGCTACGTCTCGTCCTCGTCGGCCACTTCGCTCATCCACAAGCGCGACGGGATCCCCAGCACGGGATTGTCGAATCGCCATCTTGCGAACTTAGCGCACGACGAGCGGTCGATGAGCGAGGGTCACAAGTGGTTCCTTGATGGACAGAGGAAGGCGGCTGAGCGGAGGGCGGTTCGTGAGCGGGCGGCTAAGAGGGGTGCGAGGAAGGAACGCGCGGAGAAGTTGAAGAGGCGTGGGTCGCCTATCGTTTGCCCGAACAACCACTCGGGCAAACCTTGCCCGGGCGTGACGGGTCAGAACATCTCCGAGATCAACTGGAACCCGCTCGGCTCTTCCGGCTCGGGCTCGTCTAACTCGTCGACTGGAGGAGACGGCGTGTTTGTACCCGGTAACGGACCAGGCAAAGTCGGGACGGGCGACTTGAGCGGCTTGAGTGGGAACCAGATCCAGTTTGTCGACATGATCAACTATGGCGTCCTCGTCAAGGATACGACGACGTTTGAATGGGTCGGCGCGAATGGGTACACCCGCGCTTGGGACACGTGCTCGTCGACGGTACGTTTTCCTCCCTCTCCCTTCGCGCAGGACTTGAGCTGACTTGTCTCGTTGTGCGCAGCCCTACCTCTACGACACGTCCCGCAACGTCGTCATCACGTACGACGACCCTCACTCGCTCGGCCTCAAGGGCCAGCTCGCATCGCAGCAAGGAATCGGCGGAATGGCCATGGTGCGTTTCCCTCTCCCTTCCCGGCGTCTTTCTTCGCTCGTTCAGTATGCTGACGGGGTTTGTGGCGCGCAGTGGGACATCTCGGGCGACACGACCGACTTCCAGTTGACGCAGAGCTGGAGGAGCTCGATGGGCCTCAACCCGCTCGGATACCGATAGTCCCTCGCCCTCCCCTCGCCTCTCTTCTCCCTTTCACGACGACGACGACGACGACGACGAGGAGCGCTGCTCGCTAGCCGACGTGCGCTTCATCGGCCGGACGGACACTTTCACCCTTTCCCCCTCGACAGACGCTGGCCTCCTCTCTCGCCGCTCCCTGTCTATAGCTAGTCTATCCCTCGTTTGCATTAGGTGTTCTAATCGTTATTACTCGCATCTTGACGTTCTATTCCCCTTGATAGATTCCCTTCCTTCTCCTCGAGGACGTTGACCGTCGCTCGTCCTGGTTGGAGTGGGTGACTCGATGTCGCCCGCTCTGGTTGGTACACTGTGTAGCTGAGCCGTGCTCGCCCAGTGATACTGTTGCTGCAATAGCTTATACTCCCGGTTGTTTCGCATCGTTGAGCTCGTTCCGCTTGGAGAGCGGCGGCGCTCCATCCGGACGAAGCTCACTCGGCTCTCTCACCCTCTCACCTCCCACCACACACCCACCCGTGAGCACCGCAGACCACACAGACCAACACAGCAGCAACTGACTACCTCACTCGTCTTTGTCCCGTCTCACCCGCTCACCTGCTCACCCCGCTGCCACTCACCCACCTCTCATCTCATCGCATCTCCCACCTCTCTTGCATCGCGCGCACGCACAGTCTTCTACACAATGGGCAAGTCATCCACTACCAAGCCCACCAAGGACAGCAAGAAGTCCAAGTCGTCCGTCTCGAAGGAGGCCACCGCGACGCCTGTCAAGGCTTCCTCCTCGTCCAAGAAGGACGAGAAGAAGGCTGCGAAGAAGGCGGCCGAGGAGGAGAAGAAGCGCAAGGAGCGTGAGGAGGAGGAGCGCAAGAAGCGTGAGGAGGAGGAGGCCGCGAAGAAGAAGGCTGCCGAGGAGGAGTCGAGCGATTCCGACAGCGACTCGGACTCGGACTCGGACTCGAGCGACGAGGAGGAGGAGGACAAGCCCAAGGCCAAGGCCAACGGCAAGGCTGCGCCCGCCAAGAAGGACGAGTCGAGCGACTCGGACTCGAGCTCCGACGAGGACGAGCAGGTGCGTCGGCGTCGCGCGTCTCCCCCTCTTGCTATACTTCTCGTACTTACCCTCGGGACACCTGCAGCCCGCCAAGGTCGCAAAGGCCGTTGCGGCCAAGGCCACCGACGTCGCGAAGAAGGGCGCCGCCGCCGTCTCCGACGCCGTCCAGAACGGCAAGGAGAAGGTCGGAAAGGCTGCTGCTGCCGTCGCCGAGGCTGCCGAGAGCGACTCGAGCGACTCTGACGACTCGAGCGATGAGGAGGAGGAGAAGGTGTGTTGAGCTGTCATTCCAATCGCCCTTGAGACCGGTGGCTGACCCGCTTTTGGGTGCGCAGAAGCCTGCTGCTGCTGAGAAGAAGGAGGAGGAGAAGGACGGCAGTGACTCGTCGAGCGACTCGGACGTGAGTTGGCGCGCTGCAGCTCCTTCCATCGCTAAGACGCTAATCGGGACCGTGGCACGCAGTCCGACTCGGACTCTGACTCGTCGTCGGACGACGAGGACGTCAAGATGAAGGAGGACGCGCCCAAGGAGAACAAGAAGCGTGCCGCGCAGGAGAGCGCTGCCCCGGCCAAGAAGGCCAAGGTCGAGTCCGCCGCTCCCGCCGCCGAGGGCGGCGAGTCGACGACCGTCTTTGTCGGCCAGCTCTCGTGGAACGTCGACAACGACTGGCTCCAGAGTGAGTTCAAGGACTGTGGCGAGGTCGTCTCGGCCCGCGTCGTGACGGACCGCGACTCGGGCCGCTCGCGCGGATTCGGTTACGTCGAGTTCACGACCGCCGAGGCGGCGCAGAAGGCTCTCGAGCTTGCGGGCAAGGAGGTTGACGGACGCGCGATCAAGGTCGACGTCACCACCCCCCGTCCTCCTCGCGAGCAGCAGGAGCGCCCCAAGAAGCAGTTCAACGACCAGCTCTCCGGCCCGCCTACGACCACCCTCTTTGTCGGCAACCTTCCCTTCTCTGCGAGCGAGGACGCCGTCTGGACCGCTTTCGCCGACTTTGGCGACGTGCAGTCGGTGCGTTGCGCGCGAGTCTTCCCTTCTTTCGGACTCCTACACACTGACCCCGCTCCTCGTCTTGCAGGTTCGTCTCCCCACTGACCCCGAGTCGGGTCGCCCCAAGGGCTTCGGTTACGGTGAGCTTCGCGTCCTCACTCTCCATTCCCTAACCCCTTCTGACCCCTCTTTCTCTCGCAGTCGAGTTCTCCTCCATCGAGGGCTCCCAGGCCGCCGTCACCGCCGGTGGCCCCGAGTCGACCGGTGCAGGTGTCGAGATCGACGGTCGCAAGCTCCGTCTCGACTACTCCCAGCCCCGCGGTGAGCGCCAAGGCGGCGGCGACCGCAACGGCGGCGGTGGAGGACGCGGCGGGTTCGGTGGACGCGGTGGCGGACGAGGCGGACGCGGTGGGTTTAACGACCGTGGTGGACGCGGCGGCGGACGCGGCGGACGTGGTGGACGGGGAGGAGGACGGTCGGCGGATGCTGGATGGGGCGGTCGTCCCGGTGGAAACCCTCGCTCGGGTGGGTTCTCGAACGACAAGCCCGCTGGCAAGAAGATCTCGTTCGACTAGAGGACGAGCCTTTCGCGCCCGACTCGACTCGAGTCGAGTCTTGTATCACCATGCGTATTTCCCTGCCCTTCCTTTCGTTGCGGGCTCGCGACGTGTAATCTACTCCTGCTAGACTCTCTCTACACACTCGTTTGCGGCACACCTAGCGAGACTTTGCGAGACGACCTTGTGGAAGCGATGAAGTCCCGCGAGTCTTTGACCTCCGCAACCTCGTCTTCGCTGGCTCGTTAGGCTGCTGCTGGCTCGTGCTGCTACAATCCGTGGTCAGAGGACAGGATGGGCCTGCTCACTATCATCCGCAAAGCCCGGCTGAAGGAGAAACAAGTCCGCATCCTCATGCTGTTCGTCGCGCTCCTTCTCTCCCCTCAGACGCAGGTGGAGCTCGCTGACACTTAGAACACGCCCGCAGAGGACTGGACAACGCGGGAAAGACGACCGTCTGCAAGGCGATTCTGGGAGAGGATGTTGACGAGGTCAGCCCGACGCTGGGGTTCAATATCAGGACGATCGTGCATCAGGGGTTCACGCTGAACGTTTGTGAGTGTTCATACTCCTCTTGGCGTCCCTGCGGACGAGCTTGACGGCGCCTCCACGATGGATGCGATGGCTCACGCTCTCGCTCGCTTCCTCTCCAGGGGACATTGGCGGCCAGACTTCTCTCCGCCCTTACTGGCGCAACTACTTCGAGCAGACAGATGCGGTAGTCTGGGTCGTCGACTCCTCGGACCGAGCGAGGATGGAGGATTGTAGGCGCGAGTTGCACGAGCTGCTGAAGGAGGAGGTACGTCGCAGTCGCTTCGTCCGTGGGTGCGCTACTGAGCGAGTGGCTGACTTGGAAGCGAGTGCGAAACGCGCAGAGGCTCGTGGGAGCTAGCTTGCTGGTTTTCGCAAACAAGCAAGACATCGCGAATGCTATGACTGTCGACGAGATCTCCTCTGTGCGTCCCTTCTCGTGATTCCTCCTTTATCAGAGCACTGACGAGCTTTCTTGCAGGCCCTTGAACTATCGACCCTCTCCTCCTCGCACCACTGGGACATCCAACCCTGCTCAGCACGCTACGCCCGCCTCACCGCCCCTTCACCCGCCTCCTCCGACTCCCCGCCTGGATCAGCAGCTCCAGCATCTCCAGCAGCTTCTCTTTCCAAGGTCGACCCACGCATCATGAAGGGACTCGACTGGGTCGTCGCGGAAGTCGGGTCGCGCGTGTATTACGGCGTGCAGAATTCGGCGGTCGCGCCAGAAGCCGTTCGTCCGGCTGCTCTATTAGCTTGACAACCAGCGCTTCTCGATGAGCAGCCGCCCTGCCCCCCAGCGCAGTCACCGTCTCGCATATCTCTTTCACGGCGCTTTTCGCCGTCAACCGATACCCCTCAACCCGCGATACCCGTTCCGCTGCAATACCCCGTCATCTTGCAACCTCAATGGAGTTCATAGACTTCCTCTAAGCCCACGAGAGGAGACTTGCCCGGCTCTTTCACTTCGATCGCTTCTTGACTATCAACCGCTCACTTCGCTTGACTCTGGTTGACGATGCTACGTCGTGCTGCCCTGCTGGCACGTCTGCATGCTCCACGAAGAGCTGCTGTGACCACACCATACCTTCCGCCCTGCCGCTGCATCACCACCCCCGCTTCCTCTCCCTCATCGCCAACAACCCACATCTCGCCGCAAGCGCTCCTGGGACACTATGCGTCCAGTCCGACACGAACAGTCACCTTCGACGACCTGCAGCAGTACGGTAGGCCACCGCTGGACGAGCAGACGCTGCTGCAGAGCGCGGAACGGACGAGGCAGGAGTTGCTAGCGGGATTGGCGCGGCGAGTGAGTTCGAGCTGTCTTTCAAGACGTGTGGACCAAGACTGACGAGCGCGCGATTTGCAGGTATCGCAACACCTCTCCCTACCCTTCCTCCCAGCGACCAACCCATCCCTCGCGAAAGTTCACAACCTGTACTCGTCCGCCTTTACGAACCTCACGCTCGTACCGGAAGTCAAGACGCTGGCGGACAACGATAGGCTGTGCAAGGTCGTTGCACAGATGGTCGAGGAGCACCGGGACAACATTCCGCTGCTGGCGAAAGGTTCGCTCGTTTCCCTCGCTCCTTTCCGCATCGCCTTGCTGATCTGTATCTGAACAGGCTTCAAGGAGTCGCGGAAATACCTGCCCGACGCTACCATCACCGACTTTCTCGACCGCGCCATCCGAAATCGGATATCGCTGCGACTGAGTCCGTCCTTGATTTGCTCGCTTGCTCCGTAACCTGGCTGACCGACTACCCCTACAGTCGCCGAACAACATCTTTCTCTCTCCGCCGCCTCGCTTCCCTTCCTCCGCCCGCATGCACCGACTATCCACCCGCCTCCTTCCGACAACGACGCCGCACGAGATCCGCGCATCGAGCCTTCTGCGCGACCACCCTCTTCCTCCCTCTCTGCCAGCCGAGTAGGCGTCCTCGATCTCGCTTTGAACCCTCACGACCTCATCTCGACCTGCTGCGAATACGTCTCGCTCCTCTGCGAAGCGACTTACGGCGTCTCGCCCAACTTCCGCATCGAAGCCGACCCAGCGATGACAGTCGGCTCAGTAGGCTCGCACCTCGAGTACATCTGCACCGAGTTGCTCAAGAACGCGTTTCGAGCGACGATCGAGCACAATGTACCGAAGAAGGAGGAGGACGACCCCGATGTGTTCAAGTTTGACGACTTGCCGCATGCGCATATGATGAAGGACGATTTTCCAGAGGTGCTCATCACTATCGGGACGGTGCCCGGCGCGATGACGATCCGGATCAGGGATCGCGGAGGAGGAGTTCGTGAGTCGGCGCTGCTTTCTCTCGTCTCATGCGGCGCGAGGCGGCGCATCTCTTGTCGCCTACATCCATTTCGTCGATGGGGAGCACATTACTGACCTCGAAACGTTTCTCACAGCCCCCGAGAACATCCGCAACGTCTTCTCCTACGCCTTCACCTCCGTCCCGAACCTCCCAGACCCCGACTCGGATCCCGACTCGCCCGCGACGTACGGCGGCGTCAGTAACGCGGGCTACCTAGGTGGCGTTGGTGGAGGACCGGAGGGTGCCGAGTCGGCTTTGACGACGAATGTTGGAACGCTGGCGGGACTTGGGTTCGGGTACGTCCCTTCTCGCTGGCTCTCGCTCGCGCTCGCTCTTTCCGTCGCTGACCTTCTGCTGCACAGGCTGCCTCTTTCGCGGATATACGCTGGTTACTTTGGAGGCTCGCTCGACCTCGTCTCGATGTACGGCTGGGGAACGGACGTGTACTGCGTGATCAAGACGGTCTGAGGGAGTAGTCGTACATAGCCTCGATCTATCTGCATCGCTGCTTGTCCCGTATACAACCAAGTCTACCGCTTCACAAGTTCGCCGAGAGTCGCTTCGTCCGATACTCGTCCTGCTGCTACTTCCCGCAAAGCCCGCTCGTACCCAGCCCAGAACGCATCTACCGTCGTCTCTTCTACGACGCCGTGTCGGTAGGTGAGCGTGAAGTTGAGGTTGCCGCCTCGAACGGTGATGGGCTGCGAAGCGCAAGGTCAGCCTTGTATCCGCACGGTATCGAGAGGAAGCGATGCGTACGTTGATAGCGAACGCTGCACCTCTCGCCATTGCCGTCTGAGCCCACAACACGTCTGTCAATCCTTCCGCTTCCCACCCCGTCTCCGGCAAGACTCCCAAGTTTGACACCTCGAACGTCGCGCCGTACGGGTGCTCCTTGCGCAGGGTCTCCTCGAGCCAGACGTCAAACTTGGTCTTTCCCTCAGGCGCATCGGCCGACGGAGCGACAACCCCGTCTGGGACGTACACAAGCATCCCGATGTGCTCGTGCGCTGCTCGCCGGACAGAAGGGTCGACGAGTCGCTTTGCGTAGGCTCGGCAGGTCGACCAGAAGGAAGTGGAGGCGAGTGAAGAGTCGTAAATGGTGGTGATGTCGATGATGTAGTTGCCGGTGCAGGAAGGGTGGCCGTAGTCGGCGGAGCGGACCGAGATGGGCGAGTCGCCTCCTACGACCGTTCCTCCTGGCGCGAGGACAGACGCTGATGCAAGGCCCGCAGCGAAGATGACTGGGTGAAGGGTGTTGACGCCGTGCGACTTGGCTTGAGCCTTGAGGTCGGCGACGAGCGAAGCAGGCAGAGAAAGGGAGCGGAGTGCGGTTGGCTGGAGGTAGGGCGGGACGAGCGGAGGATTCGGGAAGACGGTCGTAGGCGAAGATGGTCGGAGAAAGGCAGGGAGTTTGGGCGCGACGAGATCTGAGAAGACGACTTTGGCGACCGTGAGAAGGGGGGGCTTGATAGGGATGCTGTCCTCGCGGGTTGGAGGAAGCGCGACGACGTCGTTCGCTGAGGATGGTCCATCTCGCACGATTTTGAGCAGCTCGGCGAAGAGGTTGCGCGTGGCCGTGCCATCCGCCAAGATGTGGTTGAGGAGCAGAGTAATCCGCCGTCCTCCCTCGTCGTCCTTCGGTCCGAGCCAGACTCGCCACAGGGCTTTCTGCCCTGCCGCTAAATCGACTCCAGCGTCGAAAGCCCGCGACAGAACGTCCTCGGGCCCTCCCTGCCCGTCGTCTGCCGACTCGTCCACGACGTCTTCCGCCGTCAGTCCCACGATTTTCGCCCAGCGCGGCGCCGTAGTCCGAGCCTCTGTGACGAAGCAAGCGAGCAATGGGTGCTGGGCGAGAAGGCAGTCGACGGCGGCGCGAACGGAGTCCCCGTCGCAGGTTTCGAGGCGAGCGGTGATGGCGACGAGAGGTGGCACGCCGGCGAATGCACGCGCCAGCATGTAGCGCTCTGTGCGACCCAGCGGGCGTTCCAACTGAGCCATGGCAGGTACAGGGAGGAGGAGGGAGGGAAAAGACCAAGCGAACGAGCGAGGGGTGGAGCCGAAGAGCGAACAGGAGGAAGTGATCTACACAGGAGAAGGGAAAGCCACGGACGCTGTTAAAGCGTAGCCCTTTGCAAACAGAGACGTCTACAGTGTATACCCTTGGTACTCAATCTATCCGAGCCAGAATCAGCCACCGCTGGCAAAGTCGGACGACCTTCGCAGGCGCAACTCTGCCCTCTTTTCTGCTTCTCCTCCGCTTCTACTGCGCTGCGATCTAGACGATTGACTCGGTGTCGTTGTAAGGGTGCTGGGCTGCGAGCAGAGAGGCAGAGGCATCAGCGGAGCCAATTCGCAGACAAGAGCGAGAAAAGCGCGCACGGTCGTATGGGAACTTGCGGACGTTGCTGTCACCAATGTACGCCTTGTAGTCGGGCTGGATGGCGGTGAGGTTGAACAAGCCCGACGCCTGCTGGCCGCCGAAGGTGAGGATGTCGGACACAACGTCGGACGCGCTCGAGTTGTAGTTGAGGCGGACCATCTGCGACGAGCGGCGAGACGGGTCGCGGAGGAGGTAGTTGTGCGGCGACATGATCATGCCGGCGTGAGCGGTCGTGTGGACGGTGTTGCCGAGGTCGCCAGTGTGCGGAACATGGTGCATGCCGAGGTTGAACCAGAGAACGAGGCTGTGGGAGCGGCGGGCGAAAGTCAGCATCGAGTAGAGATTGAGCAAGAGCCGGCGGCGAGGAAGAGAAATGAGAAGATTAGCCGGACGCACTCTTCCTGCTCCAGGTTCTCGCCATTGAGGTACTTGGCAAAGTCGACGACCGGGTTGTAGGGGTCGTACGCGTTCGATGCGTGAGCCGAGCTGAACTCGGAGTCGTGGTGCTTCGTGACGTAGAGCGGCGCTTTGGCAAAGTTGAGCGAGGGACCGAGGTTCGACGAATTCTGGATCGTAGCGTGCATTCCCGCTCCGCCGATTGACGGCATGATACGCCAGGCGCGCTCCTCGCCGAACCTGCAACGTACTGGTCAGCGGACAGCTGTTGCGGACAAGAAGGAGGCCACTCACTTGTTCTTCTCCTCGGCGTTGTAGACGAGGTACATGCTCTTGCCGTTCGCAGGCCAGTGCAACGTCGCGTTGTCCTCGTTCTTGAGCGTATCACGGACGAGGTGCATCGTTGAGCGCGTGTGGTTCGACCAGGGGTACTTGACCTCCTTCGGCTCGACCGTGTGCATCGCGAAGGTGTTTTGAGTTCCGAGTACGTCAAAGTCGGCCTTCCAGTTGAGGACGTGGTCGTGCATCGACCCGCTCAGCCCGTCGTGAATCCGGTAGCCGTATTCTCCGTTCTTGGCGTAGTAGGCGCTTTGGATGTCTGCGGGAGGAGGGGTCAGCAGCGGAAAGGTTGGGTCGGATCGGACGGAACGCACATCCTGAAGCCATGACTTCAACCCCGATAGAGCCATCGAGCATAAAGCTGTAGACGAACGAGTAGTCGTAGCTGAGCGGGTCCTCAAGAGTTAGCGAGGGCGCTCGTGGGGAAGGACAAGGAGGGAAGATGACGCACTTGCCGACTGTCGAGACAGACTTCATCTTGAAGACGACGTTCTTGGTAGCGGCGACGTACTGTCCGTTGGCGTGGCGCTGGATCGGGAACGACTCGGTGTCTTCGAAGAAGCAGATCGACTTGCGGTGCGTCGTCGCGACTTCGTTCGCGAAGAAGGTGGTGGGAGCGTAGTGGGCGTACGTCGGGCAGTCGTAGCCTTCGATCGTTTCGAAAGCGTAGGGGCCGAATCCGTACCAACTGCGGGAAGCGCGAGTTCAGCCGCCGGTATCGAGGAGAATGCGGGAAACCGAGGACGCACGTGTCGAGGTAAGCAGTTCCGCTCTGTACGGGGTCGTTGCCAGCGTCTGTCGTACCAGAGCTAGCGGTCAACATCTTGCGAAGTCGCGAGTCCTGCTGAAGGTCGCCGAGAAGCTGACGCACAGTGAGCGAGAGCCTCATTCAAGCCGAGCTCATACAGAACAGTCTGGTTCTGGTACTTGATGTCCCACAGTCGCATGCCCGTGTCGCGGCGGAAAGACCAGTAGAAGGAGAAGCTGTCCGGGACGATCGTCAGCAAGAGGCGGCTGGCGGAAGCAGTGAGCCAGGACCGACTCCATCCACTCGACATATTGCGCGTCTTCGTCAATAGCGAAGCGCTGACCGCCAGGCGCGATCTGGATAGGCGGAGGGCGGTTGTCGTACGGCAGCTCGGCTCCGTCCCTGTCCGTGCCGATCCACGTCTCGTTCATTCCGGCGTTGCGAGTCGTCTTGGCGACCTTGCCGTTCGACCAAGCGTGGCGGAAGTCGGCGGTCGTCGGGTAGAAGATGCCGTCGTGCAGCCATCTGCCGGAAGAAGCGGAATGAGCGGGCGTTTTGCGGAGAGAGGGAGATCGAACAACGCACCCGAGGAAAGCCCAGCCACTCGGATCGCGACCGGTGAAGTCGAACTTCATGTACAAACCCTGCGAAAGGACGAGTCGGCATCCACGGAAAGAAGCGCCGAAGACTGAACGGAGAGCGTACCTGCGGGAGCAGCGTTTCGCCGTCAAAGACGGACTCTGGGACGCCCCAGAATCCGACCCAGGAGATCACACGCCCGTCTTCGTGCCAAAGCGGGTCTGTCGAGACGAGCGATTAGCGTGAGGCGCAGCGAGCCAGCTCGAAGAGGAGAGAGCAACCGATTCCCCAAATGTCCCCTGCGACGAACGACGCGTCAGTGCCGTCGAAGTCAGGAGGTGAAGGATGAAGGGACGCACAAGAGTCGGTAGGCGCGCCAAGAAGGTCCTCGACAATGTCGTCGCACGTCTTGGCTGCGTCAACCATGAATTTGTACGTCGCGTCCGAGTCGGCGTCGTAGTTGCGGACCTTCGAAGTGCCCTTCGTCGTGCGGAACGAGTACGGGTGGTAGGTCGTGTTGGCCGAAACCGGCAAAGGGCCAACGAGATAGTCCTCAACGTACGGCTCGTCGACCGAGTTGAACATGATAGTCGCGTAGGCCATGCGAGGCGGCTTCGGGCCCTTTCCTGAGAGGTACTTGAGCGTTTCCTGTGGGAGCCGGGTCAGATCTTGACTCTCGCGAAGACTTGCTCGGCGACTCACGGTCTTGTTGGGTACGGCGAGATCGATAACGGTGATCTGGTTGTCCCACGAGCCAGCGTCGGACGCGGCGGTCAAGTTGAGCGCCGTCTGGTTGTGCAGGAAGGAGACGACTTCGGCTGCTTCATCGTTACTGAGGGTTGCCCAAATGTTCGAGTGGGGCGCTTTGGTCGTAGGCTTGCCGGGGATGTCAGTGAGGTTGTACTGAGCGGAGGCGACGTTCGAGACGAAGTTCTGGACGGCCGGACGAGGACGAGTGCCGCGGAAGTAGGGAAGCTTTGGGGAAGGAGCGGCGGTGACGGCGGTGGCCGCAACCAACGCGCCGAGCAGACCGGCGACGTGCATGTCGAAAGAGTGTCGAGAAAGCCGGGAAGTAGCGATAAGGGAACAGCAGCGAGGGAGGAAGAGAAGAAGCCAGCCGACGCGCAAAGCGGGTCGGAATGGAGGCGCCTGCGCCCCGATAAACGAACGCCTTCGGCATTCATACCGCGTTGTTCCATTGTTTGCTTGGCTGCGGAGGGGGCGGAGCCGGGCGATCGACTCTTGGGCGAGAAGAACAGCGGCTCCGGGCGAGATAAGGTCCAATCTCCTCTATCCTGCTCGCCGCCTTCTGCAGCGAAGACGACCTCGTCGAGCCGCACGAGCAGTGAACAAGGCTCCTTTAGGATCCGGGTGCTGGATGGGAGGATCGCGCGCCGCTGGTCGCTGAGCCCTCGAGTCGTTGTCGCACCTTGCACTCGCGGCAAGGTGGTCGGGCGTTTCTAGCGGCTCCTGCGCCGCCCGCCAGACGCCCACCCTTCTCTGCTGATTCGCGTCTAGCCAGATACGGCCGTGCCACCCCGCAACTTCGGGCGAGACGGGGAAGACGGAAAGACGCCCGCCGTTCGCGCATACAGCGCGGCGGCGGGAGAAGCAGACTGTGCGAGAGCGTGTATGTCTGTGATGGCCTTGGCGCCTGGCGGAGCGATTTCGAGCGATCAGCCGCGAGTGGGAGGAAGCGAACCTGAAGCACCAGGCTCTGGCGGTGTCCTCACGCTCGCTCGCAACATTTGGGCGCCTGCTAGCCTCCCGTTTACCGTTGATCACTCTGTGCGTCCCCACAGCTTGCGTCAAACGCGCCCTGCGCTGTACGGCTCGCCCCTGCTCCCCCTCGACCTCGAGGCGGTGCACGAGTTGAGAGGGAGCGAACACAGGCTGGATGGAATGGTGTAAGGGCCTCCAGAGCGAACACGAGCAGCCGAGGAGCCGCTGCGACTGCCGTACAACCGCCTGGATTCGTTGCGTCGCCGCTACACCGCTTCATCAGTTGGCGAGGAGGAGGCGGACAGGACAGCTCGTCGACGGGGTTCCGTGGTCGCTGACATCGTTCAAGACATCCGTACAGAGTGCGCAAACGGACCGCGTACCGGGAGCATGCCTGTCGCTGCGGTGAGCCTCCCTTTCTCCCCTTCCTCCGCCAAGCTGGTCTGACACTGGGCGCGTGGTTGCTACCCAGACTCCCGACACGCCCAGCAGCTCCAGTCTATCTGCCCGCCTCGCCGAACCCCTCTCTTCGACTGACGAACTCCTCGACCTGCTCCTCCCGCCCCTCCAGTCTCTCTCCCTGCTCTCCGACCGTCCGTCCCTCGCCCAACGCCCTGCTCGATTGCCATTCACTTTCCAAGCGGAACGCTTCGCACGACGCCCACTAGGTCTCGTTCAGAAGGTCCTCGTCGAAAAGGTCTGGCCGGAATGGGAGGGCGCGCTCGTAGCGGAGGAAGGCGCAGCAGGCCTCGTGGTCTTCGAGCGATTCTTCGTTCCTCCACCTACCGCCTTTGCATCTACTTCTTCCGATGCGAGCAGCAACGGCGCAGCCGTCGCCATCTCCGCCTACAGCGTCCTTTCCTCGGTCCTGTCCAGCAAGACGGTCTCTGCGCTTCCGCCTCGGTCCGTCGAGATAGCTCTCGACCTCCTCGCCAAGCTGTCGTCGACCTTCAACATTGAAGAGCTATACCTCACGACTGTCGGTTCGTCCGGGTCGGGGAAGAACGTCGATACGGCGGAACCGGAGGAGGAGGGCAGCTTTGCGGATCCTGCTGCGATATCGCGGTGGGAGACCACGCAACGCGTCCTGTTGGGCGTCCCGACTCGTGCAGCGAATGCTTGGGGCGTCATGCAGGGCAAGGGAAAGAAGGTTGCGAGGGAGTTTCCGCAGGAACTGCATCCAGAGTGCGTCGGCTGAACTCAGCGGTAGCGAGCCTGGCTGATGTTACGGCGTTGCAGCTCCTTCATGACCGCCTCTGCCCGGTCGCTTGCCAACCTGGTTTGGCGACTCGCAAACGACCCGACAATCCCCGTCTCCCGCTCCGCCCTCTCCTCCAGCCTCCCCTCACTCACGTCAGGCAGCACTCTCGACGTTCTACTTTCGCTCGTCATCCCGCGACTTCTGCCGCCCGAAACCTTCCCAGCACCCGCAGATATTCTCCTGCGCCGACAACGGCACATCGACATCTGGCGCGCCGTCACCGACGAGCTCTCTGAGCGGGACTTGCAGCGTTTCATGCGCGCCATCGTCGTGTTGATGACTCAGAAGCTCAGGTCGAAAGCGGGTGGAACTGTACTGCAACAAGCGCGGGCGGCAGCGTTCGTCCTCGATTCGTTCTTCGGCGCGCTCGATCCGGCCAACAAGGCGACGTGGAAGCCTGCTCTTGCAGTGTTCTTTGACGTGCGCGGGTCGTTCGACAACGATTTGACGCCCCTGCTTGCGGTGTCCTGGGCAGCGGAGACGGCGGCTCGTATCGAGCTCCTCAAAGAGGTGCTGAAGGTCTGGGGAAACGCAGAGGAGATCCGCGCTGGACTCGACAGTCGACGACTTTGTGAGTCTAGGCATCAACACCAGCTGGGAGCTACAAAATTGACGCTCTGGCCCGCAGACCTCACAACTCTGGTCCTCACTTTCCTCGTTTCGCTTCCTCCGCTTCAACCCGACCTCGTCACCCTCTCTCGCTCACCGAATTTCCTCTCGGCCGTCTCGACCCACCTGTCCCTCGTTGCTCCGCTGCAACGACTGCTCGGCATGCTTGTCGCCGAGATCGTCTCGCAACGAACGGTCGACCCGAAAGGCGAGCTCAAGCCGCTCGACTTTGGTGCCGAGATCTGGGCCGGCGACTCCTCCGAGAAGAGGACGACTCGTCAGCTGCGCGGAGTGCTCGCCCAAGTCGAGACGGCTGCGGCTGGCCAGGTCGAGGGCTGGCAGCACGTCTTGCGGAGGCTGTCGTCAACCGAGACTCATCCGCCTCAAGCTCCTGCGCCACTAGTCAACAGAGCTCCGTTGAAGCCGACGAGCGTTGAGGAGCCGCCCGTCCAGCCTGCCAACCCGAAGCGGCCTATGATATCGATTATCGGCGACGGCGACTCGGACGACGACTTCGAGCCTCTCCCGCTTCCACCAGGTCCGTCAGAAGCGACGCTTGAAGCCCTCGCCTCGGACGACCCCGCGCTCTACCATTCAGCCTTTCCTTCGCAACAAGCTGCGACGGCTGGTCCGGCGGGCGGCGCGAGCCATACTCGCAAGCGAGGGAAGCTCCGCCCTCCCGTCTACATTCCCGAGCTCGTCGCCTATCTCAAGGGCGAGGATCCGCAAGGCGCGAAGGAGGAGGCAGATGGCGAGGCTGAACGGGTCGAGATGGGCTTGAAGGAAGGCGAAGCGCTGGTAAGGCGGAAGGCAGGATGGGGAGGCGAGCTTCGTAAGTTTCCCGCTAGTCTATGTTTGCCGTCTTTGCTGACATGCATCGCACAGGCGAGAACGCTGTCGACCTTGCCTTCGCGCTGATGGGCCTGCACAACAAGTTCGAGCTAGACGACTTCGAGCAGCAGAAGCAGGCCATCCTCGTTGCTCTGCTGGTGGCTTGCCCAACAGAGGTTGCCCCGTACGTACCGCCGACTGCCCAGGCACTATTGCGCCTCTGACGAAAGCTTTCCGAACAGTGCCGTCATCGAACAGTGCTTCACCAACTCGTACTCGCTCACGCAGCGGCACGTCCTGCTTGCGGCCCTCGCACTCGCAGCGCGCGAGCTGGCAGGTTTGCCGACACCAACTTCGGCGCCCAAGTCGCGGATCGCAGACCGAGACGAGCAGTTCCCGTCGAAGCGACTGCCGCCGCAGCTGCATCGTCGCCTCGCCAGCGCGTCAACCGAGTCGGACGGTCCCGTTGAGGCTTTGTCGGCCAATTTGACCAGGATGGCGTTGTCGGGTGCGCGGGAAGATGCGGAGACCTCGTTGCCAGAGGCCGCACGGGAGAAGCTTCTCAAGGTACGAGGGACGACGCGGCGGTCAGCGCGGCTCGATCTCGCCCAAGACACGTCGTCTACGCCCACATTCGCTTCCATTGCCGCCGAATCCTTCATCCTGCCCCTCATCAACCGTTTCTGGCTCTACCTCCGCGACACGGCCACCTCGTCCCTCGCCGGTCGCCAAACCCAGTCAGTCGGACCTTACGCTGGAGGAACCCCGGCTCTCATGCTTCTTGAGCCAATGCTTCTCGCCAAGTTCCTCGCGACTTTGGCGGTCCTCGTGCATGCCGCTCGACATTGGCCTGCCTTCCTTGCCGTCATCGTGCCCGAGACGCTCGCCTTCGTCCTGGCAATCAAGCCGGCTCAGCCCTTCGCCGTCGCGTCTGCCCGCGCCGTCGAAGAGGACGCCGGTCTCGACACGGACTTGGTTGTCTCGTCCGCGCTCGAGCTGGTCCTCGTCGCCCTCGACGCGACGGTGCAGCTGGACGGCGGCAAGACGCTCATGTCGTCGTCAGCAGCGAATGGCGAAGGTGGAGCGATTGTCGCAGACGTCAAGGACTGGGCTGAGGAAGTCTTTGAACGCGAAGAGCGGCGAGGGGGGCAGGTCGGCGTAGGCAGGCCTGGGCGGGCGGCGGCTGGAGTGCTTCTGCGGGTCGACGAGATTGTCGGGCGGTGGCGCGTCGCTGTAGGGTGGTGAGGGGCGGTAGTGCATCGTTTGCAACCTCTCGCTTTCGCGAGCGATTCATCGCCGAAGAGTTGTGAGCGCGAATGTGCTTGCGACGCTACAACTAGCACGGA